AACTACAGTCCTGAGAGTAAAGTTAATTGCCCCAGGCTACACAGCTCATCAGTGGGGGAAAAGCTGAAACTCACCTGCGGTTGCTTGAGACTGCTGCTGCATGCATGTGTGGAATGATGCTCTGCTAGTGTAATTCTGCTTTTGTTTTAGTTGCTTGTGCTGTTCTTACGTGAGGGAATGTTCTTCCTGCGCTTTACTGCTTTAAGATCTGTTGCTTGCTGTGCATGTAGACCCAAGCTGTTGAAGCTGTTGCTTTTATTTTTGTCCACAGAACCTCTAAATAGAGCTCCTATCTTACAGAGGATAACTCACTCATTTGCTAGTAACTTTAAATTTTTCCAGCAGCACAGCGAAATCCTACTGGCTTTTCCCAAAACTTGCAGCATTGGTAAAATTCATACTCTTAAAAAAAGCAGAGGGTTTCCCAGCGTGCGATGTGACTTATTCTTTTGTTACTGAGCGACAGGACGATGGTTTTGCTTACCTTTCTGCCCGCTTGCCGATGAGTGGGCACCTTCCAGCAGTCGCAACCTGCAGAGGTGAAACCCAGCAGCTCAGAGTTAGGTGGATAAATGCTGTCTGTGAGTAAGGGTGCCGAGGCGGTACAGAGAAATGGAATTTCTGAGCGGGGGGCAGCTAGTGACCTTAACGCAGCTGGAAGTAGGGCGTGTGAATCCCGACACGCAGTCTTCTGCTCTAGTCGCTCTTCCTAACTTTATCGATAAATGCTATGCTTTGCTTTGCCTTGTCAGAGCTTAGATCACAGTGGCGCTGGACAGGGGTAGATGTTATTCTGCCACCTAGCCGATAAAGTAAGTTCTTTGGTGAAATGCTCTGGTCGTGATAGGAATTCATGTGGTTCAAGGAGTTTGTCCACATGAGCGATTTTACTTGGGGCTACTTAGTTCTAACGCTTTCAGTTTGGAGAACGTAGCAGTCACGGCACGCCTGACCATGGAAGAACGGCAAAGTCTTCTCTAGCTACTGTATGGATGATGTGCTCTTTGTATGGGGCTTTACTTTCTGCTTCGTTGCAGCTGGCCCGGATTCAGACAGACAGCGTAGTCGAGATGCTCCGTGAGCTATACCCTGACCTCCGCTTTGAGATTGGTAAGTTGTTTCTGGATGTTGCCCTGGGGTAGACAGCAGCAGCGGCCAGCTGCTTATCTTTGTGTGCAAGAGGCATGTGTAGAGCGCTGTCCCGAGGAGGAGGATTCGACCCCGCTTATCTAAGAGTGCTGTCTGAATTGAGTTAGGTTGTGTGGCTCAGCAACTGCTGGCTGGTTTCTTCTAGGGGAGAAAGGTGGGTTTCAGAAGCTCCTGATGATTGAAGCTCTGAGTATGTCATACAGACGGTGTTACGTTGCTCCATTTGAGACCCTGGTATCGCTGTGGCCGCACCCCGCTGTGCGTTAGGGACGTTTTCCTGTCTGGGGCTTGAGGCGTTCGACGGCGCGGGAATAATGGGAGCCCAGTCTTGCGCTGAAGAGAACTGCCGGGTACCTGTTTACCGGCGCTCCAGAGAAAGACCGTCGCAATTTGTGTGGGGTCAGCTCTTCCCAAAACCTGCCTTGTTTCCCCTCGCTCTGTTTTTGAGGACAGTGAAGGAAGCTTCGATTTCACTTGCCTTGAGCGCAGTCTGTTTCTAGAAGCGAGCTGCTCTTAGGTTTATCTCGAGTCTGCGTTCAGGCAGTAGCCCGTGCCGCTGCGCCGCTTGTTACGTATTACATTGATATTCCCGGGCTAGGCCTACGTGCTCTGACCAAGCCTCACCTCTTACTTGTGCTCTTTCTCTGAGCAGTTGCCATGTCAACGACTGGAGACAAGATCTTGGATACAGCACTTTCCAAGGTAAAGGTTCTCTTCTTCCTCTGCGCAAGAAGTAATTGTATTTGAGGATATATTTGGCAGATTTTTCTTTTGTGATTGATGTTTCTCCATTTATGTGTAGATCGGGGAGAAGAGCCTCTTTACCAAAGAGCTGGAAAATGCACTTGAAAGAAATGAGTAAGACCTCATTGTTTTCTCTTCCTTCTCTGGCATTCGTGGCGCTCTTTGGACATCTTTGGCTTGCTGCGTACGTGGTCTGGTTTCCTTCTGTTCTGGTACCTCTCTGGCCAAGAAATCCTTTGATCGGTCATTGTCCTTTGTTCACCCCCTAGGCTTCGGGCATGTATTTTGAAGCGGAGTTGTTGCATCGCTTGGTCTGCCCCAGTTCGTTTGATGGTTTTTTCCTCCTGTGATTTGTGTGTTACGTGTGCACCAGAGAGGATGTAATCTAATCTAATTCCTGCTTACAAGTGCATTCTTTTAAAAATACTTTGCTTGATGGTGTTAATGTATTGCATAACATATTTAGTGTTATTGTGTTAACATTTATTAACATATTTGCATGCTAAATATGCAGGAGAATTGGGCACGGGCAAGTTGTGCTGCTTCCTGGGTAACTTCTTTCTACAGAAAAACCTGGTTAAGGCTCCTGCTGGAGCCGAGAGAGATTAGTGCTTCCCGCCCCCCTTTTTTTCTTTTTCAGTATCCTAAGGAGGGTTTCAATGGTGCTTATGCCTTAGTTAAAGCAGGTTTAAAACCAAAAAGATATTATTCTGTGTCTCTGACGCATAGGCACGCAATACGGCGCTTTTGAGTAAAGCCAGTGAAACCGGAGACTCGAGCGTTTACGATGACGTTCGTCGGCCTTGTAACGAAGCAGATGGCGTTTACTTTGGCTAGCTATTATTCTCAGTTTGAAGCATAGTACCGGACGGCGTACTGGTTGCGTATCAGTACGATGAGTCTCTCTGTGGGAACGTCTCCGGTGTCTTCCCCTCATTCAACCTGATTGTTGCAGTGTGTCTTGCATCGCTGCTGGGAGGAAGGCATTGCCTGAATTTTGCGGGTGGGAAAAGAGCGACAGAGAAAGGTGAAGCGGCTTTTCTGGAGTAACAATAGTATTCTATAGTAATTCTAGCCATAGAATCCTGAAATTCCTCCCTCCTCTCCAAATTAATTCCCAGGGTGGATTCACACTTTCCTGTAGATGACCTGCAGGCCTCCAGTAGGTACTGTGTGAGCTCAACTGTCTGCTCAGTGATTACTGTCCTCTAATTTTTAGAGTTGACCTCGTGGTTCACTCCTTGAAGGACCTGCCGACTTCTCTTCCTCCTGGCTTTACCATCGGCGCTGTCTGCAAGTAAGTGCAGACGCGAGGCTCGATTCTCTGAGGGACTTGCATTTTATGGTGTCGGTGGCAGTAGGAAAGCAAAGGCAGCTTGGATCCCGTTAGGCGTTCAAAGTTTGCCCACCCTCTGATTAACCTCTGAAACGGTGGAAACGCTAGAGCTGTCCTAGTGTTCTGTAGCCAGCCGGCTTGCTGGACACTCTTGCTTTTACATTGATGATGGGGTATTTTGGAGCCAGAGGCGCTTCCTCTGGGGACCGATAGCACAACTGTTAAGCTTAAACAGCCTTCCGTTAAATGATGTGTCAGCCATTCTGCACTCGCATTATTTTGCAGAAGGGAAAACCCACTCGATGCTGTTGTCTTTCATCCCAAAAACTGTGGGAAAACGCTGAGCCTCCTTCCGGAAAAGAGGTGAGTGGGGAGAGGAAGGGGAAGACAGTCAGGTGTAAAAATGGAAGGGAGGAGTTTTTTGATACTTTCCAGTAGCAAGTCAATGAGCTCCTTGCTTTGTCCCGTAGTGGTTTCAAGCCGCCTTCTGTTAGCTTTCCGTAGACATTACACCGAACCCGCTCGCTGAAAAGAGCAACGCTGTCTCATGGGAGTGCTGCACGCCGACTGAGGCCGGCTCTCTCGAGCCACCCTTGAGTTGCCATGTTTTCTCAAGTTAGACCCTTTCTTATTGCAGTCTCCGGAGTGAATTCCCGCTCCTGTGTGTTGCACTTACTGCAGGGGAACGCGTACAATGCAGGCAGCGTGTCTGGTGCGGTATTTTAGCTTGCGTGGGCCTGAACTACGCTCTTGTTCTCACCCAGCCAGTTCAGATTTCTTTGTTGGTTTTTTCTCGTCGCTTACTTGCGGCTCTGCTGGGAGCGTGTACGGTTTCTCCATTTTGAATTACCTGCCATTTCATAGAGGTTATTGGAGTCTTTTGTCTGAGATGGCTGAGTGAAATTACTCAGATTAAGGTAACTGTTAGAAAGTCCTTCCGTTTTACTAACTTCAGTTGTCTGACTGTGTCCGATTCAGTTTGGGGCAGCCGAGCCTTTTTTTCTGTGATGACAAGCGTTGTGGTCTTTAAATGAGGTTTCATCGGTCCTTGACAGTGCTAGGGACTGCCCTCTGGAAGCATGTCCTGTAAATTGGTTCCTTGGGAGCGGCTTGCCTGCATCTAGCTTCAGCCAGGCTTTATGCTAAACCTCACGGAGTGCTTTTCTGTCTTTTAAGGAGATACAAATCATTGGCAGGTTCTTGGATCTTCATTGCAATTAAAAAAAAAAAAAGACTTCATTTGTTTCCTTGAAAGTTCTGAGATATCTCTGGCTGGAGGTAACTTTGGAGTCTTCTGGATTTTATTGATTTTATTTTCCCCCTAGTGTGATTGGAACCAGTTCACTTCGGAGAGCAGCCCAGCTCAAGAAGAAGTTCCCTCAGTTAGAATTCAGGGATATTGTATCCTTTCCTGGCCAAACGTGGGAGCTGGGTAAAACTGCAAACGGGAAAATATAACTTAATGTGAAATCTAGAATTGGGGCCCATTTACACCACCAGTTGTCCATATTTAACCCTTCTCTTGGGACGGTGCTCTGACCGATTTTCATTTGGAGGCTGCTGGATTCTGTACCTCCTGTAAACGCACTCAAGCGAATGTTAAGTGGTTATAGGACTGTTTCCCTGCTGCTTCTGTGCTTGCTTAATCACTTCTACAGAGAGGCAATTTAAATACCCGCTTAAAGAAGCTAGATGAGAAGGAAGACTTTGGTGCCATCATCCTGGCTGCTGCTGGGCTGAAGAGAATGGGCTGGGAGAATCGCATTGGCCAGGTGAGGAGCGGCAAAGCGGAAAATACCGTTCTCTGCCGAACTGTCGACCGCTTGCCTTTCAGACCTTGCGGTTGTCCTGTCAAAGATGAGCGTGCGGTCTGCTGAATGCATTGCCACGTTACCTTGTGATCTGATGCGCTTCAGGGAGGATATTTTTTTTTTGTCAGTTGGTTGTTTTTGTTTTGTTCATACAGAAATTTATACCGTTCAGCTTTCCACCGTGCAGTAACAGTTTGTCACCTGATCGTCTCCCAGCGTTTCACAATACTTGTGTCTAGCAATGCAGCGGTGTGCACGACTAAGATTTTTCCTATTAGCTAATTCACAAGGTGTTACGGTCCCGGTGAAGGGAGGCGCGTTATCTCGCTTTAGGGGTGGAAACACTGAGGCGTGGGAAGGGGGAGGTGATATTTCTTTGGTCAGGTGCAAAATCAATTGATGTTAGAGGCGAGCGTAGAATTGGGCTCTCACTTCCTGTATTCTGAACAGCGCAACTTGAGTCAACTCTGATTTTGCTTTCTTCCAGCTCCTAAGCCCTGAAGATTGTCTGTACGCTGTCGGACAGGTACGTTACAACTTCTGTATCTTAAGCTGTACTGCACGCAGAGATGCACGAAGCTGAGGAATTATGATGATGATTACGTCGTGTGTTTCTTTTTCTTCTTCTAGGGTGCCTTAGCAGTGGAAGTTCGTGCCAAAGACCAAGAGATACTGAATATGGTATCTGCCCTGCATGATGCAGACACCGTGTTATGCTGCATTGCTGAGAGAGCCTTTATGAAACGTTTGGTAGGTGTGGCACCCTTGCTTTTCTGCCTGCAGCGGTAAATACTGCTCTGCTAGTTGACCTGACACCGTAGTATGGGAAATCTGTTAACGCTTTCCTAAAACTGTGAAGTAGCGATTACTTCTGAATTGAGAAGGGCCCGAAGAGCGATAGGCGGGGTTGCGCACAGCCTAAACTTTTCAGAGGCCTCTGCTCTGAACGCATTGGGTAGAAGCCTCGGCGTCAGCCGCTTTCTGTTTTAGGAGGGCGGATGTAGCGTCCCTGTCGCCGTCAACACCATGCTGAAAGATGGCCAGGTGAGGAGTACTTTGTCTTTATCTGGGAGTATTTCTGAAAACCTGTTCCAGTGTGTGTATGTTCCCTGATCCTTCCCCAAAGCTAACGCCAGCAGATAGCCAGTTAGGGCAGGTAGGCTCCTGACTTGAGCTTTCTGGATTTGGGTCCAAAGCAGGAGTATGAGAATGGGTCTGGCTACTGAAGCTCAGTCTCCTAGAAAATGCCCTTATAAGAAGTACCAGATTTCTCCCCTGCCCTTTGTAAGAGGTCGTGTTGCCCTGAGATCCGAGCGTCTCGCTTCCGCCTCCAGAAAAATGGGTGGTTTTGCACAATGGAGTGCGATTTAAGGAGGCAAGAAGCTAGAAAAAAGTTCAGCTTTTTCCTTGGGAAGTCGCATCTTCCCTAACAGGGATTTATTTTCCCTATAGTTGTATCGTACCGCTATTCCTG